TGGATGGAAATGTGCAGGGCACTGCTGCCCTCACTGGGCTTCCTCTCCTGCATTTCCAGCTTGGAAATCAAACTGCAAGAAACACCCAGGCAGTGTCCTGTCCATATTTGTAATAGACAAGAAGAGTATTTTCAATTTTAGGGCAAAAAGAGAGGGATTTCTTCCATTCTGTGCTGCAAACGCGGCGGGTGGAGCAGAGGCAGTGAGGCGCAGATGATCCCCCCAGCACTCCCACAAACTCTGGATTGCTTGGGTGAAAGTGCCCTTGGAAAGTTCAAAAGCCTGGCATATCTTCCCATTCAGCCCCTGCAATATGCATATTGAAAAGGATTTTCCAAACCAAGCCATCCTTTTCCCATTGCCTTTAATCTTTTCTCGGTGCCTGCAGAGATCCTGGGAGTTCAGAAGTTGTTCCTTCTCTCAAAAAGGATTATGCTTTTCTTAATATTGATACTTAGAGTTAGTGCTTCCCAAAGGAGATAGGATCTGAATTTTGGTGAAAACAGTCATGCATAAAGCTTGTGAATCTGCTTTTCTGGGCAGACTTGAACAGCTTTAAGCAGACAGTTTTCAGTCAAAAATCTGTGTCCATGCATTGCTTTTGCAGTGAGAAGCCTCATGCCTGACTTCCTGATGAACAATGTTAACCTCAAGCACAAATAGTTTAATTTCCAGCTCTCTGATCTCATGGTGAAAAACTCCATGAATGCAACACTCGGTGGTTTATTTGGGATTTTCAGGAGTGACTGTTCACATCCCCAGGCTTAGTGTGCTTGCCAAGCTTCTTCCAGTTTCCCAAAGCCTTTCTTGTTTTTAGGAGGAGCCCAAAAAGGTTTGTTTCACATATGACCTGTTCCTAAATCTGGAGGGGAACCCACCTGTGAACCACCTTCGTTGTGAGAAGCTGACTTTCAACAACCCCACCAAGGAATTCAGGCGCAAACTCATCAGGGCTGGAGGGGTAAGTGCCCAGTTTGGGATCCTAAAAGGAGTGGGCTTGTTTTGTTCTGAGGTTTCTTTAAGGCCAGCAGGCTTCAAGCAGTTTTCTACACTCATTTAAAAGATGACCCAGCCAGTTTTGACTGGTGGTTATAGAACTGCAACGCTTACAGCAGAACAAATCCTTTGTTGGTGTGTATTAGTGACATTTCTTTTGTCAATTTAAATGGGAGAATTAATATCAAAGCAGAAAACCCCTCAAAACCCCTCTGGAAAGTGGGATCTGCTGTGGATGTTGCCTGGTGCCAGGAGCTGGCTCAGTACAGAAAAGCTCAAGCAAAGAGAGAGGCTTTCAAACCATTCTTTATTATTATTTTTTTAACTTAACAGTTAGTGCTTCCTGGTCAATAAATGACCTCTAAACCTGGCATCAGCTACTTGTGGCTTAGATAATAAAAAAAATTATTGAAAAATTGGATAATATGGAGTGAAAACAGGTTGGAGTGGGAAGTAGGTATTCTCTAGAAGGCCCAGTAGAGAATGGGTTGCTACAGGAACTGAACATTTCCATATCTGGAAGGGTATTGAGCAGGGATAGACTAAAGGATGATCCTCAAATAAATGCAAGATCTGAGCAAATCAGTCCAAACCACAAAGTGCAAGAAATTTTTAATGAGCCAGAGAATTTCAAGGCCAGGTTGGGCAGGGCTTGGAGCAGCCTGGGATATGGGAGGTGGAATAAAATGAGCTTTAAGACCCTTTCCAATCCATGGTTCCTGTTCCCTGTGTGCCAGTGCTTTCCTGTACTGGGCAGAGAGAGGAAGGTGCTCATTTCAGCCCTAGGATGGCTGGAACATCCTCTGCTCTCCAGGATTTTCACAGGATGGTGTTTCAGTCCTTGTCTACTGAGGTGTTTCAGCTGTTAATCGCTTTGGATGCCTTTTCTCTGGTGGCAGTTTTTCACAGAATTATCCTGACAATATAAGAAAGGAATTGTTCATGGAGCTCAGTGCTTGGTGTTAGGATTTTGTGAAGGGAGAGACCCAAGCTGTGTTTTTTTTCCTTTTTCCCCTGAAACAGTGAATTCAGCTTTTCCTAAACCAAGGAAATCTTGCTCATTCTTTCCAGATTTATCTCCCTTGCCTTTTTCAGGGGAAGAGCATTTGCAGCAGAACACACAGTTCTTGTCCAGAGCTTTATTGCCTGCCTGTGCTCAGAATATTGGCATTCCCTTTGGGAAAGACACTCGATATTGCATTGCTGCCTTTCAGTTTTGTGAGTTTAATATTCTGTATTTGAGGAGTTGCCTTGAAACTGAGCATTCCATAGACAATATCTTTTTATGGCCTTTAAGCAGGCGAGGAAAAAAACATTGAAAAGATGAATAATAGTGTGTTAATTGAGCAAGTGGCTTAACATAATCATGTGTTAATAGTTAATAGTCCGTGAGACTTTGTGCAGACATAATTTCCCTCCTCTTTATTCCCAGGTAATGGTGATGCCAGAAGGAGCAGAGACTGTTTCAAGGCCAAGTCCTGATTATCCAATGCTGCCCACGATACCTCTCTCTGCCTTCTCTGATCCCAAGAAGACCAAACCCTCCCATGGGTCAAAGGTCAGTGCAGCACATGTTTGGGTCAGCCTGAGGTGAGGGAGCCTTTCAGGCCAGCCTGCTGAGAGCTTGTTCAGCAGCTGTTCCTGGCTGCTGCTAATTCTGAACCTCCTTGTACTCTGCAGTTCAGTACTTAATGGTCTGGAACTTGCCAAGCCTCTAGGAGGCTTTTTTATGATCTGATAGACTTCTCTCCAGGGAAGTTTTGAAAAGAAAATTAAATGTGCCAGACTGGGAATTTTTGGTGGATTGTATTGTCCTTAAAGGCAGATGAAATCCTCTCTGATGGTTCTGGGGCTCTCTCTCTGCCTGCCATGCCCTGCACCCCTTGGCAAGTCAGCCCTTCCTCCTCCTCAGGGCAGTGCTGAGAGAACATCAAACACTTCACTTGCTCCAATGGGTGCTTTCCACACTGGGTGTTTGTGTCCAGCAGCAGCCAGGCCCTGATACTTCCACAGAACCTTAAGATTTTTCTTTTTTTCCCTTATGTACTGAAGCTATTTGTGTATAATCCTAGATGGGGAAACAATCCCCAAGCAATGTATTTTGGAGCAGATTACATGCACTGTGTCAGCCTGAACAGTCACAGGTATTAACAACAATTCATTTCCCACTGTAATTCAATTCTGATAGCCGTGTTCTTCAGGGCTCTGAACACTCTGGCACTTCAGTTATGCCTTCTGATGTTATGAAACAGAGTGAAGATGACTTACCTGTTAGTGGCTGATTTAATTTTGGTCAGGAATTAAGCACTGAAAAACACAGCAGAGAAATAAAGGGCTCTGAGATGAACTCTGGTGAAAATTACCAGTTGCTAAAGAGACAACATTCCCCTGCTTCCCTTCCTCCAGGGTGCCCTGAGAGCTGCATCTGTGTTTGCATTCAGGTTAAACCTGAATTAAACACCTGTAGATGTTTCTAGACCTTTGACAGAGGAAAGGAGCAGAACGTGTTTTATCCTTACTCAATGCTGAAGTGCTCAATGCCAGTTTGTGTGCAGCAGCTTGAGGGAAGTGTGGACATTTACCTGAATTAAACACCTGTAGATGTTTCTAGACCTCTGATAGAGCCTGGAAAGGAGCAGAACATGTTTTATCCTTTCCTAGATATTGAAATGCTCACTGCCAGTGTGTGTGTGCAGCAGCTTGAGGGAAATGTGGACATTTACCTGGGCTAAACCTGAATTAAACACCTGCAGATGTTTCTAGACCTCTGATAGAGCCTGGAAAGGAGCAGAACATGTTTTATCCTTTCCTAAATATTGAAATGCTCACTGCCAGTGTGTGTGTGCAGCAGCTTGAGGGAAATGTGGACGTTTACCTGGGCTAAACCTGAATTAAACACCTGTAGATGTTTCTAGACCTCTGATAGAGCCTGGAAAGGAGCAGAACATGTTTTATCCTTTCCTAAATATTGAAATGCTCACTGCCAGTGTGTGTGTGCAGCAGCTTGAGGGAAATGTGAGTGTTTACCTGGGCATGTGGGGGTGGATTTCTGCACAGAACAAACATTGCCATGTGATTTATGAGGATGTGTTTTATCATTCTGTGCAGAGCTGCAGTTTCATACCCAGCTTGCATGTTTCTGTTGCTGAATTTTAGGATGCAAACAAGGAAAGTAGCAAAGCATCCAAGCCACATAAAGTAACCAAGGAGCACAGGGAGAGGCCCAGGAAAGACTCTGAGAGCAAAAACTCCTCCAAAGACCTTGAGAGAGAACAGAACAAGACTTTGAAGGACTCCTCCAGAAAACCAACTGAGAACAAACTGCCTAAGGAGGAGAAGGCACCTCCAAAAGCTGCTTTCAAGGAACCAAAACTGGCCGTGAAGGAGACCAAACTGGAGAACACCTCTCCAAAGGGGGGGCCACAGCCGGAGTTAAAGTCTTCCAGCAAGAGGCCCTCCAACGTGGAGTCACCAAAGCCTAGTGCCAAAAAACAAAAAAAGAGTAGCTCCAAAGGGGTGAAGAATATCCTGGGGACATCTCCCAGAACCTCGTCTTCCTCATATCCAGAGAAGAAACAAACCAAGGAGAAGATGAATGCCAAAGTGGAAAAGGTAAAATCAGAGAGCGAGGCCAAGGAGATCAAAAAGCCTGTGGAGATGGAGGAGTCAAACTCAGAGGATGAAACTTCTTTCAAGTCAGAGGTGAGTAGGGATTTATTCTTTACCAGAGTGTGGAAGGATGATGTTAAATCCCTGCCTGGAAAAGATATAAAAATAATCTCTCAGAAAAGATAGAGCAGCAGATTGGAAAATGCTTAGATTGGGTTGCATCTCAAATAAAATTCTTCTTTGAAACTCCAGTCAATATTAAATGTTCCTCCTGTACAAACTTTTTGAGATTTCTCTGCAGACAGTTATCTCAAAGTCAGAGTTGAAGGTTATGGTCCCTCATTGATCCCTTGCAGTGACATCTCCAGAGCTACAAGAGATACAGAGACACTTCCAGGATGGCAGTGGTTTAGAATGTGATCTTATTTCAGAAAAGAAGGAAATCATCTCAGTTTTGGTAATGAAAAAACCCCAGTATTAAAATGTAAATAAAGACCCTCTTCCTGTCATGGCCTGTAAGAAATGTGCCATTGGCTGAAGCTCAAAATGCAACCACATGCCACTAAATCTAAATAAGTTGTGTTGTGAAACATAAAACAAATTATGTTCTTGTACTACTATTTTTAAAAGCTGTCTAAATATTTTTTTCCTTTTTACAACCGAGAACATTCCTCATCCTCTGTTTTCGAAAAAGTGTTTTCCAAAAGAAGGCAAAAAAATGCAAGAAGGAACAGACAAATCCAAACTCTTGCTACTTTTCACTTGTATATTTGTTATAAAGGAGCCCTATATCTTGTAATAGGGTTCACAGGATAATGTCATGGGAATTCTGGAACTAGTTCCTCCTGACCACTTTAAGAAAGGTTTATTTTATTAAGATTAATTTTCTAGGGACAGTTTGTATTATGATTTAATCAGCACTGTGATACAACAATACTGATGTGTTTTTTCAGGAAGGGTTTTTCCTGCAGGACTCCCAGTAGAAGAGTTTATTGGGCAGTGCTAATTCCACTCTGAGAGAATTCCCATCCCTGGCAGTGCCCAGGGCCAGGCTGGGCAGGGCTTGGAGCCCCTGGGACAGTGGGAGGTGTCCCTGCCATGGCAGGGCTGGCACTGGATGGGCTCTGAGGTCCCTTCCCACCCAAACCATGCTGGGATTTTATCACTTCACTTCCCACATGGATAAATTTCCTCCTTAGGCGTTAGGAAAAGGCAGCTCCTCTCTCCTTTGAGCCTTTTACCAAAGTGCTCAGCAAGCGCCACATTTCAGTTCCAGATGTACACCCCTCCCTGCAAACCTGTGACTGTGCACATCCCTCAGTGTCCTTTGCTGTCCCTGAGGTGTCCCCATCCCCTC